AGGGGCTTGGACTGGGAGCTGTAGGGTCGCCGGTTCAAGTCTCACCGACCAGACCTAAAATATGGAGTGTGGACTGCTACTTGGAGAGGTCTCAGTTCACATCCTGCCCTGCCGTGGTGCCCTTGAGCAAGGCACCGGACACCCCCCTTCCCCGCTCACTCCCATTGCTCCCCGGGCGCAGTGCAATAGCTGCCCACTGCTCCTACTAGACTCCTGGTACTAGGATGGGTTAAATGCAGAGAACAAATGTCACTGTGTGTGCTGTGTGCTCTGCATGTGTGACCATTAAAGAGGGTTTCATCCCTCCCAATTCTATTCTTCTAATTCTATGTTATAGTTTTGTGATTTTCACACCAACATTTTTCTTTGCTTTCATTGACTATTTAGACTACAACTATTTCAGTAAACCTATTTGACCCTAGTTAGCCCAGTATTTAAGATGGGCCGGAAATGATAAAAAAGTTTTAAGGGTTTTAAGTGGCAATTTATTTAACATGTACTTATATAATTATATAATTCATTGCTTTAATAAATGAGTACATAAACAATTATGTTGTATTTTAAGTAAAGATACATATATACAATTATAAATAGTTAAATGAATATGTGAATAATTTAATCCGTAGAATTGTTATTTATCATAAATGTATACAAATACATGTAAACAAATGTGTGTGTTTTATTTCTCTTTTTATTTTACTGAAGCACTTAATTATGCAATTAGACCATTTACTTTTGGACGCTAAACTGCTCCATAGTAAAATTAATCAAACTTTGTTTCAAGATGAACAATGACATTTAAAAAATCAAAGAAACCTTTATAAAACATGTGTATTAATTAAAATGAAAGTTTCTTGTTCCACCATTTTTTCATCAGACAACTGAAAAATGTGGCTTGAAATAATTATATGATGATATAGTGTAAACTAAAAGATGGTCAGGGGTCAGTTATAGAAATAGTTTTTTCTAAAATTACAGGTTATATGTTAATATGATTTTTAAGAAAAATAGGTTTCAAAAGCTGTATGAAAGAAAATGTTAGAAGGAGTCTTACAGTTGAGTTACTAGCCCTACTGGATGAAATCCAAAATACAAGAGGTACTGGCAACACCTGTTCCAATCGATGCCTGTTGTCCACACCACATTTGGCAAGGGCCCATATTTAACTTTGCTGCGTAAGCAAGCCAGATCGTATATAAGGGGGCCCAACAGGACAAGGGACAGTGTGGTGGAAGACAATCGGAGACTTCAGCTTGTGGTAGGCTTATCTTCTGCTGTATAGCATTTCAATGCATTCTGTATTTGCTCAATTTATTTAAAATATAAACTCATTGTAAAAAATATCATGAACAATTTTGTTGATTTAAGACCAATATGATATCTTCTCAACAGGATTGTGGAATATTTCTGTCTTTTCTCACGAAGAGTGGAACAGGTATGAACATATTACTACATTACATTTGTAAATATATTTTATTCCGTCAATCTAAGTTAGAAAAACGTTTTAATGAGCTAATTACTTTTAACTCCATACTGGAATGTGTTCTGGTAGTGGTACACAAGAAAATAATTTAAGTGTGGACTGTTACCATTCCACATTTCATTTTATTTCCTTCCTTTGAGAACAAAGCAGCTGACCCCCACACGGCTTCCTGGGCCCTGTATAGTATCTGCCCACTGCTTCTAATTCTGGGTTAAATTCAAAGACTACATTTCACTGAGTGTGGTGCTGTGCACATTTGTGTGACGATTTAACGAGAATTTGATTTGAATCCCTCCATTTCAATTTCAAGGAGAATTCAATTTAATGGGGATATGTTTATTTTTCTTTGATGACAGACATTCTGGGCTGTTCAATCAAATTGATTGAAAACATTACAATAAGTAAGATTAATAAGATTTATCATACTTGTGTGTACTTCACAGAAATAAACTGCCACCATGAGTACCGACGCAGAGATGGCCACTTATGGCAAAGCTGCCATTTACCTTCGTAAGCCAGAGAGGGAAAGAATTGAGGCTCAAAGCGCACCATTTGATGCCAAGAGTGCCTGCTATGTGGCTGATAGCAAGGAGCTGTACTTGAAGGCAACAATCCTCAAGAAAGATGGTGGCAAAGCCACTGTCAAAATACTGGGAACTGAGGATGTACGTATCATTAAATCAGTGTGTACAAGGAATTACATTTGATCAGTTCTCATTGTAACACATTTCCTGTTCTAGGAGAGGGTAGTGAAAGAAGAGGATGTGAGCCCAATGAACCCTCCCAAGTATGACAAGATTGAGGACATGGCCATGATGACCCATCTCAATGAAGCCTCTGTGCTGTATAACCTCAAAGAGCGTTATGCAGCATGGATGATCTACGTAAAACTATTTGCCTAATGAAATTAAAAAATGATGCGGATGTGGAGAATCTGGTGCTGGAAAGACTGTGAACACCAAGTGTGTCATCCAGTACTTTGCAACCATCTCAGTTTGTGGAGGCAAGCAGAGAGACACATCAAAGGTATGTAACTCATGATGATTACAAATCAAGATTCTTTACCTATATCATTTTTCCAGGGATTAAGAAATGTCCTGATAGCAGTTCCAAACTTGATTTATAGGGTTCACTTGAGGATCAGATTATTGCAGCCAATCCCCTGCTTGAGGCTTATGGTAACGCCAAAACTGTGAGGAATGACAACTCTTCTCGTTTTGTAAGTATGGAACAGTTTCAACACACGAGAGGATACTTTTTACATATTGCACATGTGGAGGGACATTAATGATTATGTCATTCCAAACAGGGTAAATTCATCAGAATCCATTTCCACGCATCTGGCAAACTGGCTATTGCTGATATTGAGACTTGTAAGTAACAATCCTTATAGTATACAAACTACTGTAAGTAAGATTTAGCCTGGCTCTGACATGATCAAAACTTGTAGATCTGCAGTATGAAAGTTAGCTC